CCATGACAATTTTGTCGACAGAGAAGTTCGGAGGCCTAACGAGCTTTTGATGCGCGACCGTTTTTCCAAGGCAAAGTATCGTTTTCGGCAAACTGATCACGTGCATGACTTTGTAGATCTATGGGCAGATCTGTCATGATATGCGAAAATAGATTTTTTTGCTTAATTTGAAGCAATATATAAAATGTGTCTTAAAAAAATTGAGGAGTTGAAGAATATGTATATATTATAATTGGAATCGACATATGTGGAGATGGGGCTCCATCATATCAGACGTATCAAACTTTATATTTTCATACTCAAGTTTCACGAGCATAAAGCATAAAACTCTTCTTTTGCTTGCCCGTTTATAAGTAATATCAAAAGAATGTCATTTAAATAATTATATACGTATGTGCATACATATGCAGTGTTCCAGGTCAGGTCAATAAAACTTGAAAGTCTTATAGAAAATTGAATTTATAAGAACAAAAAAGTTCTTATAAACATAGGTCCAGAAACGTTTTGTTAAAAAGTTATAGCTAATAAACTTCAGAAAATCACGTTTTTTGATGATTTTCAAAAATAACTAGTTATCTAATTGTTAGACTAAAGCGAAACGCTACGTGTGTATTGTACACATGTATCGCGTTGATATTCATTACATTCGTCATAGAAAATTCAGAATTACATGATACATTTATCATTAAACATCAATGAGAATACGGATTCTATTGCTTTAGTGTAAACTTTAAACGAAAGCACGTAGCAATTAGCATTGCTTTTATGCTTCGGAGGAAACAGCGTACTTAGAATGTTTTCGTTGAATGGGGGATACAGGTGTGCAATCAACGGTTTCGTGACGATTTGGTTTTCTACTTTTCAGTAGGCTCACGCTTATTGGCCTAGCGGATCAAGTTTTACGATCGATTTCCTGTCGTGTAAGAAATAACGAGAGCGCTACGATCGGTTATACTACTGATTTATTGGCGTTATAGGAGTGTTCAAAACGCGGCTCATAAACGAGTCAAGAGACTTGTAGAAAATAAGTCGTAAATTTTCGAAGATTAATACATTGTGGCATTTGGTCTATTCAGGATCGTTAAATTTAATGCCTATTCTGTATGCCAACTGTGTATGGTCCGAGAATTGAGAAATGGACGCGCTATTCTCAAGATTTGGTAAACTAAAAACATTTCTATCTATGTAAGTTAATAACTTTATCAAAAGGTTATTTATTTTTGTACAATTGAAGGGGTAACAACCATAGTGGTGTAAGTCAAATTTTTAAAAATATTTTCTCGTGTGCATAGATGCAATTTATATATTGTACAGATTGCATCTAAGCACACAAAAAAATATTTTTAAAAATTTGACTTACACTACTATGGTTTTTACTTCTCCAATTATACTCGTATACTTATAATCGGCACAAAAATGACACTAATCTGCTCTAACTTTATTCTCTTTATTCTCTTTATACTTTATATCTAAAATTTTATTGACGTTTTTTTAACTAAATATTTATATGATAAATGCTCATTGCTCAATTAGGCAAAAATTAATCTAAAATTATTTTTCAGACATGTCCGTATAAGAAAAACATAGATAAAAAAACAGGCATAAAGTGAATATTGCATATAGCTTATACTTATCAAGAAGTATAGCCGTTCATATAAGAAGCTCGTTTCACGCATCCTTTAAACTGAAAATGTAGCTTGAAATTGCCTTTAAAATTCCATTAACTAATCTGAAAATTTATAGCTCGTAAAATAAATCCAAATGAATTATTAATTGGATGAGACTCGCCTAGAAATTTGTATCTTTAGATATAATATAATAGTTGTACAAAAAGAAAAAAAAACAGATAGCGAATAGTACATGCGGAATAGTACGAACAAAACGATACAAGTTTGCGCTTTAACGCACTTGTGACGAAACACAATAATATTTCATCTGATTATGTCGTTCTTGGAGATACACAATCTCGATTCGACCCTCTTCGTTTTTCCAGAACAATTAACGTAACTATCGTTCGCTCGTCCGAGCATGGAAAACATGAGGTAGGTATATGTCTGACGAATACTGCGGGGGTGATTTTAATGCAAAAATAACAGAGTCTCGATGCTAATGATTCGGAGAAGCACGCATCATTGGGTTCCCTGCCTCCCTGCCTCCATGTCTCATGCACGTATTTTTGCAACTGCAGTAAGAGCCGCGTGGCAACTTGGCCCATCCCTTTACTGTTTTAGCCGCGGGATACCGAGCAGTCACGTGCCGCTGATCTCGGTACAGTTTGCACGCGTAATCGGAACTTGCCTATGGTTGCTGTGTCACTGTCTGACAATGAGTCTAAAAGATTCAACCTCGGGAAACGTATTTGAGATAAATAAAAAGACGATATTAAATAGACGAACAATTTTTACTAAAATGTTAAATACATGGCGTTACGGTTGAGTTTAACGAGTAAAAAAGTAATTTTAATTCTGTTTCACGCTAATTCATTATTCACGCTTAATTTCACGCTATATTCATTTTCTTGTATACGTAATTACGTAACGAGAAAAAGATATATTTCCAAATAATGCGTTTATTAATTTCCACTGTATACTGCTTGTGTAAAAAAATCTTGATAAGCAGAGTAAAGGTACATATATTTGGTTGTTTTCTTGTATTTGCCACCGGTGACCCACGTCGGACTTTCCGTTTGGCTTTTTGATCATTAAAGAGTATTTTCATATTAAATGTGTTAATATTAAATAAATGTTTAATAAAAATATTTGCTTTGTTTTACACTGCATTTTTGCACATTAAGTTTTTTTCTATAATAATAACTTTTTTTTGTTTTGTAATTATTATGGAACATAATTTATTTTTTTCTACTATTCTTTTTGTAATTTATTGTTTTATATACTATAATGAATATACTGCGTGGATCGCAAATCATGTAAAATTAGGCCGGCACGGAACGTGTTAAGGCCTTTTATACATAGATTTTATTTTTTAATATAACGATATAACAATTTGATTCAAGAATCATAAGTAGAATATGGATTACAAATGTATCAAGTTGGTGAAATTTGTATGTACGTATTATCTCGAATCGCAATCTTGTCGCAACACTAACGCGAACTTAACGAGAGAACGAGTCAGTTTCTCGGCAATGAAGACGCGTGTCCAGAAGAGAATCTCGCGAGCTGGGGAGACATCAAAATAGAAGAGAGATGGCGACCCTCGGTGCGTCCACGTGTCCGACGTGGACGTCGACGATGTCATTAAACTCCTCGTTACGCGGACCCGAGTCCAAACTAACTCCGCTCGTCCGGATAACTCTCTCGCTACAGACCCCGTAGCCAGATCTACCAGCCAACGGCAACCAGGCCCTGCGAACAGACGGAGCTACGTCTCGTGATTGGTTACATTACCGATACGCGCGTCTCGCGTCACAGTGATGCTGTTACAGCAGTCGCGGTAAAAGCGCCTCTCTCTCTCTCTCTCTCTCTCTCTCTCTCTCTCTCTCTCCACTCACTTCCTTCTCCCTTCCTCTCCCTCTTTCCCTCGCTCTCTCTCGCATCCTCCAGAGAATAACCTCTTGCGTCTACACTCTCCTTCATTGAGGAAAACAACATTGCAGAAATTTCCCACAAGAGCATGAACGGTGCATAAAATTTGATGAAATTTGATTCGAAAATCGATTATGCTTGCTTTGAAATTATTTGTTAAATTCTAGATGTTTATATTGCATATTTTCGCATTGTTGGAAATTTTAATACATTATTGATATAGGATTGATGATATCCTAGATATTTTTTCTCATTCGAGTATCCATTTAATCTCTAATAATATAAAATATAATATAATTAAAAATTGAAATTAAATTAGTAAATATGTAACGGATTATATTAGAAATGTTCAAAATATATTCTAATATTAAAAAAATGTTTTTATTTATACTTGCTTTATCGCAACACCGCTAATTTTACGAATTAAGCATTTTTGCTGTAATATTTATTCGAATAATCATATATGTGAGATACATTCCGTATCCCACATAAGTATTTGTTGGTAATTAAATATCTTGATACCTAAATACCCCTATATGTAGGTATACATCGATGAATTTAATTCACGTATGTCTTGTATTTAAAAGTATACCAAATTATCATCGGTGTACAACACGTTAAATGCGACCATTTCAAGAAATATGCGATGGCTCACAAATAAAGATTGAACCAATTAGAAATAAAAACCAAAAGTTGAACAACAGCCGTGAGAAGAGACTTTTTGAATTTAAGCAAAAAAAATCAGTGCTCTTCTTAGAACAAACGAGGGGCACATTTGCGTTACGGGGATGGAGAGGGGAGGGGTTATGTGTCGCTTATGATAAAGCTTGGGAATTGATCGGTCCGGATGTCGCATTTTGTACGCACAGCGTGTCGCCCTTGTTGTTGGGACTGCATGTCCCGGTTACACTCGATACACGTAACACGACGCACGTGCTTTGCTACCCTTGTTCTTCGCCCTCCACCTACTGTTCGCATCTCTGTTCCGTGACCAGCACTCTTTCTCACCCCGTAGTAAATGATTTGTCTCTTTGCGGCTTCCGAAACAGTACGATTTTATATACGGTCGCTCGATCGCCATTCGTCATTTTCAGGTTATTTCTCGAACTTACAGGGTGACACCACTCCCCATCTGATCACCCAATTTTTAGAGAAAATATTTTTGTTTTGTTGTAATCATAGCAACAGCAGATTTTGATTTTTTTTTATATTACGTATTTTTACGTAAGAAAAATGCAGAAAACATTGAATTCTTAAGATATAAGTAAAAAGCTTATTAAAGTTAGTATAATACATTAATTTTACAAAAAAGAAGATAAAGCATATATTTATTTGTATGTTTATCAGAACTTATTAGTAACGCTAATAACTAATAACATACAAGTATATGTAATAAAATTAAATGTAAAAAAAAATTTTTTTAAAATAATTAAGTTAAAAATTTTTATAAATCTTGTCACAAAAATGTTATGTCTTACTAACTATATATTGAACTCGCCACTAACTTCCCACGTTTTCCTGGCGAGGGCCTCGGATGCTTATTTTCGCAGCGAGACGCAAAAGCCGCTGCCCTGTTTTCTCGGTGAATCTCTTTGTGAATCGGGTGTTTCACCAGTCGGTTGCCTTCACCTCGTTACCGTCCTTTTTTCCCGTTGCTGAAACAAGAAACTGGCATCAGGACGTCGTTATAACGCGAGGCGAGGCGTCCACTTTTCTGCTTGTCCTGACCGCCGCGCTGCCGTCGTGCCGCGCCGCGCCGCGCCGCGTCGCGTCGACCCTTCGACGGCCGTCGGACGTGGTCCTTGCGTACTACAAATAAAGCTCTCCAGGAAACAAACAGGGACGACCTGGCCTCCGCCGAACAAATTGACACCCTCCATAGTGCACGTACGACTTACGGACCACGGTGTCTTGTTTCCCAACTCGAGGTTGATCCACTTTAGTTTACTATTGTAGTTTGTTGACGCTCCATATAGCTCTAAATATTTTATTTGGGCTTATTTGAGAAGAAGCGGAATTGACAAGAATTTTTGTCGGGATGCTAAAAACAGAATGTTGTCAAATTGAATTTTAAATTTACTCTTTTGATATACTTACCTTTGTATTTCCATATGTATATATGTATATTAAGATTATGTAGTAGAAGATTAATTTTCCGAAATCGTAATAGAACTTTCCAATTTTCAGTTTTTACCGTATAAAAATGAAACGCATGCACGTGCACGCGTTTCTCTTTTCCTTCAAAATATCAAATTTTGCTTCAAAATCAAGAAAGCATCATCGATTTGAAGGAGGTTATCGACCTTGGTTCAAAACACCTTCGAGAAAACCCCTTTCTGAAGGAACGATATCAATTGAGAATTTCGAAAGGTAAACTGTCATGTCGACTGATAGAGATGCAATATACGTTTATTAAGTGGCAGTCACGTGGCATGTAACGATACAACGATATCAGTTTTGTCCTCGGACACGATTCGCCACGTGTCACTCGACGTGAATCCAGCGCTTTCGCTTTATTACGACAATGATACTCACACCCCCTGCCGGTATCGCTAGTTGATCGTAATCGCGTTTAGCCTCTACCATTCACACCGAAGCAAAGTCGCGCGCGGGTGTAAATTTAACAATGAATGCAATGTGTTTGAGAAGCAGAGTATTAATCAAGTATTATTACGTGACTCTTTAAAAAAAAAATAGGTATAAAAAATTGCATCAAATGCGTAGAAGAATTAATCCTGTGAATTATTTCACGATATAACATCATTTTCTGATGTTGATTAACATCAGAAAATGATATAATGCCGTCAAGTCTCATGAAGTCTACCAGAATCTGATATGTAATTGAATGTTATATCCAAATAAATATACAACGAGCTATTATTAATTATTATTTCGATGAACCAAAAAATATGGTGTGAAATACATTCAGCATGATTACGCCTCTAATGCGACTAGTGACTAAAGTCACAGACTCCGTGAAACATATCTCTTACAATTAGATAGACTCTTTAAGTTAATAACAATATTCTCGTCATAAATTTTTCCCAAGTATTGTATACCAAACACAAAAGTAGTTTACTTAACAGTTAACATGTGAGCAACTGAAACATGCGATATATAATGCGGGACAAGCAAAAGTTTCACACGAATATTACATGTCTATATATAGATTTCTGAAGAATTCTATAGTTTTTTGGAAGGTGCTTGGATTTTGAAATCTTTCAGTACACGGAAAAAAACGTATACGTATACGTGTTCATCATTCATATATTCATAATTAAATATTTTTTTCTATGTTGACGATTTAAATACGATTATTGAATTATATTTCCCCATCGAGAAAAATAATACTCGATTTTATTCCGTATTCCACCGCTTTCATTAGTAGATCCCACGACCACCCGAGCCGAGCCCGCATCTTGACATCCGCCGGTCCACCGTTTAGCAATAATTTACTCATCGCACGGCCACGAAATAACGTCGAAAAAGACCCTGCGGAATGAACGGTGTGGTCGTTGGCATTGGAGTGATGATCCGAATCCCACGGGTATATTGTTGTCCAATGATACGTTCGTATTTACACGTCGCGCACCGAAATTGCGCGCCGACGGCGACGGCGTAAATGCACCCGTATATGTATAAGATTTGGAGAACGGGCGTGAATAATACCGATAAGTACCATCTTTTACAGCCTATCGCGTGCAATGCGACTGTCCTCGAAATAAATGCCTTGATTCAATAACCAATGTATTGCAGCTAATTTTTTTGAGATAATAAAATTAATCCTGAAGATTAATATTCCAGATACATGGCATACTCGTATATTATTAAAATAATGACTTCATTTTTTTTTATCTGTCAATCATTTTTCTGTTTTTAGATTTTAAAAGCACATTGACATGTATGATAATTTTATTTTTAGATAATTAGGATATATTTTATTTAGAAAAATTAAGTAAAATAATAATCTTTAGTGTTTTATTTTGCGGAAATTACGCTATATTGTGTACTACGTATAAGTATTATATGTATATGTAAAATTCTGACCAAGTAACTTTTTGCAAGTATCATATGTTTTTACTTTATCATGTAGTTTCAAGTAATTTGTTTAGTTATGTTCGTACATACATAAATTTTCAAACATAGGTAATACATTTTTTTTTTTTTTTATAAAAATATTAGCATTTGTAATATTCTTAAAATAAAGAATGCATTTTTATTTATTCTCATAGAAATGTTACAAAGTGCGTTTAGTATCTAAATAACAGAATTTTTAATTTATTGCAAATATTATAATTGGAGATGTTGTGCATTTTTACATTATTTAGAGATTTCAAGGTTGTCGATATTTGTTCAGAAAACTCAAAAGAAATGCGATTAAGGAAAGAAGTTGAAGAATTCTAAACGCATTTTTACACTTAATATAAGTAGTAAGTGACATCTAGTGACACAACGTGCGCGGATCAGCCTTTTTCCTTTAAATATTTTTTCACATTATCTCGAGAAACTTTTTTGTCACATCTTGGTAGTACTGCTTTTTCTTCTCTCAAAGGCTCAAAGAGCCTTTAACCCTTCGTGTCGATCAAAAAACCGCATTTATCTTCGCACACAATATATTTCTATAAGAAAAAAATTCCAACATTCGAAATTTATCAATTGCTCATGAGTCGCGGAAGCTGGTAGTTTTTTTGTCGGTTCTTCCGCGCCGCAAGAAAAGACGTTATTCAAGATGTTAGACATTGACGGATTTGTCGGGCGAGTCGTGTTAATGCGTAGCATCTGAAAAATCGACGGATTAGTTCGTAAACCCTTATGAATTCAACGGGGCGTCATCCGTTCTTTCAAATCGATTCACAGTTCCATCCACGGTTTCATCAGTTGCTTAGATTGCATATTATGTGTCTAATATATGCGTAATGTATATCTATATATACATGCGTATTTTACAAACTTGCGATGATTAGTGATAGAAAGATTTTCTTTCAAAGAAACTCGACATAATAATATAATAACATTTTTATTGTGTGTGTGTGTGTACCTATGTTTATACATTTTTTAAATATATATTTTAGATATGGATTATTTATTAAGAGAAAAAACATATAGTTAAATATGTATTTCATATGTTTAATAATTTATTATAAATGCAGAAATTTGTAATAAAATAACTGTAAGTTAAAAAAAATTTTATTTATTTTTTTATAAATCTAAAGTTCTCACAATTTAAAGTTATTTTTTTAATTTTACTGGGTCGTAATACCATTAAATTAAATTTCTCTATTTTTAAGTTTTATAATTAATAGATATTAATTATAAATAAAATTAAAGTAATAGACTTTGTTTTCAACAAATAAATGTTAGATATTATAAGTATTAAATGGCATTTTAATAATTACTTATTAAGCAAATTTATGCCTTAAAAAGTTAGCCGCTGTTAATAAATAAAATTGAGGTAAAATTACTGTATTTCAAAAACTTTCATTATTTAATTTAAAACTGGAAAATGACTAAGGCTTTATCTATTAAGGCTTGTCTAATTCTTTTTCACTTGTAGACAGGACAACAACATACAGACTCGTGCTGTGAAAATAACAAGTTTGGTAAAAGATATAAACGTCGTTTGTCCAATTGGCTAAACAAGATGAGTTTTTCTTGGACTTACTTCTGACTAATTGTTGCCTGCTACCGAAATAGATCACATTGGTGACCGACTAACCCGAATATGTCACGGATGTTCCACGGATTACTATTATCTTTCTGCTTTAGTACCTTTAGCCCCTCTCTTTTGTATCTCGTGTGAAGAACGAAACATTAGCTACTGAATTGTTCGGGTTTGCCCTTTCAATAGTGATTTATGTTTAAATGTTATTTAACTAGTGCGAATAATATTTTTTATCCTCCGAATATGAATAGGATTCGAATAGGGCAGAAAAAAATAGAAAGAGGAACAAATCGACTTTGTCGCTTCTGATACAAAAGAGTTCGAGCTTTCTTCTTCTGTGAAACATAAGATGTTACCATCTAAACAGTATGTTGGCCAGGCAGCCACTCTGTCGAGACCTGCCACAACAATTTTTCTATTCAAAATGTAGGTTATCGAATCCTTTTGGGATCTTTTGGACCATTAGCTTTATTGCCTTATAATAAATCATTTGACTCGCTGTAAGCGTTCTATTTTTCTTTAATAACATTCCTTTTGACAGTTTGTTCAGATGTTGTGCTTATGTATTTTTATCGCTTTTTTAATCGTCTTTCTGTGCAAATATGAAATATAATCTGTACAATTTTTATCCTGCTTAAGTTTATTTTATTTAAATACCACGAATATGTATTAGGTATTACAATAATTAGATAAGATTTGACATATTAATAATTATTAGCTGTAATTAGACTTTTAACCAAAAAGTAGCCGTTTTGTTTTATAATAAGAATAATCTTTCTAACTATAAGTATTACGTATTTAATTATAAGTACATTGGCGTTTTTAAATGTGTTTATCTTTGTCTCTTCTTGCAAATTGTTCAGTATTTCCGCATAATTCTCTACATCTTTCGTATTGGACATTATTCTCGCGGAAAATATTACACTTGCAAACGTAACGTACAATCCCTTGTGCATAACAGCTTTTAATTTTTCGATTGTAAGCGCTTATTAA